TTTTTTTTTTTTTTTTTTTTTTTTAACTGTTTGCAAATCTTCAGTGTAATGGTTTGAAACCCAGTCGTGTCATTTCTTTACGCCCACACACAGAGCTGCAGTAGTGCAGACACTGTAGCAGGCAAACCATATTACCAGCATCGGCCATTAAAACTCTTCCCACCCCAGGCGTGGGCTGCCTTCGCCCCCTCCCCAACACCCACCCTTCAATTTTCAAATGCTTAAAAAAAAAAAAAAAAAAAAAAAAGAGAAGAGAAAGACACTGAAAAAAGGAAACAGGATGCTGCTTTTGTTCCAACGCTATTCCAGGGAGACCTGAACCTCTCCACCTGCCTGTGAATTGGCCACCTAAAGGTTAGCAAGTGTTTTGTTCTCATTCTGTATCGACAGAGATTAATTAAGTTCTGGGTGTTATGAGGTATATTTTTAAGTTATCAATGTAATGGTTCTTTCACTTAGGAACGAGGAGGATTTTTTACTAAAACAGAAAGCCTTTCATTTTAGTCCTGGCCCCACTTCTGTTTTTAAGGGGATTTAATCAGTATCTTTTTATCATTTAGTCCAACCTTCTAAACTTTAAAAGATGGATAGGGGTTATTATTTTTCTGTTAGAACAACCTGTTGATTACAGACTGCTGGCTGGAGGTTAACTCTTTATTCACCAGAGAAATGCACAGGAGCAAATGTGATAAAAGGATGAAAGAATGGAAATCCTCTGAGGTTTTTAGGTTTTTTTTTTAAGCACTAACAATCTTTTTTTTTTTTTTTTTCTCATTGTGAAGTCACTAACAGTGTTACAAAACCAACAGATGGTTTAGATTTGATTGTTTTATTTTTATGCAAGCAGTGGTACAGATTTGAAATAAAGACATAACAAACTGGAAAGCATTTCTTATTACTGGAGCTGGGAAGAGTAGAAACATGAGAAGTAGAACAGGAAATATTCACTGATACTGACTGTATGGAGAGCTCAAAAGGGCCAAAATAACATCTACTTTTACATTAAAATTTTAGCTGACAGTGTTATTATCAATGTCAGCCTTTTGAAATATAGAACACCATATATTTAATACTGATCAGAACAGTCGGTGCTATTTCAGAATGAAGAAAAGGTGCTGCAGATCACATTCTTCTTAAAAGGCTTAACACCATATTCTGTGCTTAACAAAACACATACAAAGCTGATTTCACATAGTGGAGTAAAGGATCAAAAATGTTTGTCCACAAGAAATAGCACCAGACCTTCAGAGTCCGATGAGTGAGTTCTCTGGGTGCTTTGTACTCTTACAGCAGGCAAAGCAGGGCAAAACTTCAGGAATAATTATTTCTTAATGAGCAGCAAGATTTCCAAAAGTCAGAATTTGAGCAAGAAATGATTTAAAATTATGGCAGTTTCAGAAGATCAGGAAATTGCACATTTTCATCCTAGTTCTGCACTGAGGCTCTCTACTTTGTCAGTAAAGTTATACACAGCTTGCATGCTGCTGGTACAGCTTGCAGTGCTGTGAGATCAGAGACGTCCCTTAAAAACAAGTGAAAAGGTGAAGTCACAACTACTGTTATGAGACATTTTGAGGTATGAAGTCAAACTGAGAAAAGAATGAAGGCAGGAAGCAGTTTTCAAGTGAGCCAAACAGGATTTCATTTCTGTGCTAATCAGAAAAGGTATCAGTTCCATTTGCAAATTTGAATTGAGATCTAGAAAGCTCCAGCACGAGGGTGAATCATAAACATTTATTTTCCATTAAAGTAGCAGTGTTTGATACACCTGCATGAAGTTTATTTCTGGCTCTATAGTTCACTATTACTTCGTTATATTGGTATTTAAATAGTTTGTCTAGTCAACTAAGAGAGCTCTTCATCAACACTGACATCTCTGACATGAAGCTTGAAGTGAGTCTGTAAGCACCACATACACCCTGCCCTGTCCCTGACAGCAGGGTTATGCTTATTCATAGCTGAACTAGCTGCTTTGCTGTATATAGGCAATTGAAATTAACTGGGTCTCCTAGAGCAGGATAATGGGTTGAACTTAAATGATCAAAAGTGATCTTGCACAGAGATTCTGAGTTACACCTACAGAGAGTGGCTGAAAACAGAAAACAAAAATAACTAGTTTCACATTAATTTCAAATAGAATTAATGTCGTATGATACCAGTTGTCAGTAAGCATTCAGTTGACACTGGTTGTAGCCATCAGAGCAGTCTGTTCACTCACATACATGGGGATCATCACACTGGTGGCATCAGTCTGATTCCAGGCTCAGTTGTGTAAGGGTTAGGAATATCAGATCAAGCTTCAAAAGTCTCTGCTAAGCCCTGAAACCATATGATAGGTGCTGAGTTCAGTCAGCCACTTGCTTTAGTTGTAACTTGCTATATTTCACTATTTCTTTTTGGACTCAGGATAACCAGTTTTCAAATTTACCAGTTAGAATTTGGTACTCTACTGAGTGTGCAAAATAATTCATTTTAAGAGCTTTTATGTTTCAGAGTCCTTACAAGTTCCAGCATATTGCTGGAATTATTAGTGCTGTCTGAAATAAGCTTCCTTAAGTTCACCTCAGCTTAACGTGATCCTCAGACTCACAGTGGAACAAAACACGACTGGCTCCATACGTGCGATAAAACTGAAGTGATGGTACTTTATAAAAATTGATCAATTATTATCCAGGAGCCCTGGATTCCTGCCAGGGTTCTTTTGTAAGAAGTGCAGTGGTTTTGACTGATGGTTTGTTGGCTGTCGCAGGCAGTAACCCTTCTGTGTGAGAATCCATTGCCCCTTTATCTGTATGGAGTGTGGGTTTGTTGTAAAGCAGTGCACAATGTCAAGTAGTTTTCTAGAGTCACTGATTTTAAGCATTTACCTTACCATTACTAGGAGCAATTCAGTGTATGATGGAAACAAGTAGCATCTTAAGCAACAATACTAGGCCCTGCTAACCACATAACTAAAAGCCAGGCAAGAAAGATAGGAAGGATAAGACAGACATATTTCTCTGCCATCAGTGTTGGAGGTCTGTTAAAATAGAATCCAGAAAAGAACCAAAAATACCCAAACAACAGACAAAACTCCCTGAGATCAATAGAGCTGCGTAGTGTGAAGATGGTTGGACGAGATGATCTTGTGCCTTGTGATTCTATGATTCTGTGAATTAAAATCCATTTACATCTTCAGCATTGGCCTATTAACCAAATTACTAAAAGAAAGAGCTTCTAGAGTAGATGTTGGACAAACAATGATAAATACAATGGTTTCACCCCTGTCCAATCCACACCAGCAGGCTGCAGCTATTTAGATTTGGTGCATGCTTACCAAGTTATAAACAGATTAAACACATCTTCCAAAACGCAGAGCTCCTAATGAAATCTTACAGGTCAGATATGCTAACGTTGTAAAATTATTGGGCACGAATCTTGCCCATTCTAGGCTGGGATTTGCTCAGTGTAACAGCAGCAGAAGCAGTTCTCCCTTTGTACCAGCGTATTTCACTGAGTGCTGCCACTGAAAGCTGTGTACCAAATGCCTGTATTCAGAGGCTTTGTGAATAAAGGGTAAGAGCAGATTGAAAAGCTACTTCATTTTCTTTTACTTCATCTCTTCCTGTTTTCTGAAGGTTGTTTCTGTGACACCGATGTAAAAAAAATACTTCCTACTTCTAATCTGTTTCAAGTCTTTGTCCTTGTTTCTCTCTGCTCATCTGAAGTATTGACAGACGTGAGACTTCTTTTGCTGAAATGTGAGCCTCAGTAACAGGTATGTAAGCTAGAATTGTTTACAAACTAAAGAGGATTCCTCTTCTGTATGCTTATGATATTATATTTAAAGTAGGGTTCAGCAGAAGCTTTAAACAATGCAAAGATTCCTAGGATAGTGCAGTACATTACGTTTGTTCAGGGTGTTGAAAAGCTACATCTGTATGGTAAAAAAATAACCTGTTACATCTACAGACTGTACCTGTAGACTGAGCCTGGGAAGTAACACTGCATCTGGACTTAATGCTCCTCTTAATGGGATACCAAGAAGTGACATAAGATACAGGAGATAAGCAGTTACGAGTTCATTTCATGTTACTGATCTGACAGACAACTGACAGTGCATGTGTGCCATGCAGATAAGAAACATCACTTGGTTGCACAATCCAAGATTATTGTAATACTGCTGATAAAAAGAAACAAGTTTTATAAACTGTATTTGGAATTAGGAAAAAAAAAAAAAAAACTCTACAGAAATGTACAGAAATTTATTTAGTCTTTTTTTTCTACCAGTTAACAGAATAAAACAGGTTCTGTTATGCTGATCTGTCATATGAAAATACTCCAGTTTTTGACGTTGTAGTGTTCCAGGCCTTCCTACAGTGCATACCTGAGGGTATAGTTCAAACTAGGGACAAAATAATTGCATTTAACTGAGTTTTCTTGACAAGTTTTGATAGCTTAAGAAATTAATGTTTTCAATTTTGGGCATACCAAATCCTGCACTTAGTTTTGCTTATTGGAAACGTTTATTTATCTGAGGATGATGAGGATTTGATGCTGGTAGCTCCATGCTACAAGCCACAAACGGAGCTCAGATGGTTGTGTAGGAGCTGCTCAGTAACAGTCTGGAGGATAATCAGCAAAGGAAGTTCTCCTCCTTTAAGCAAGGACTGTCTAGAATGAGTGCTGGGGTAGCATTAAGTTGAGATAAGCTATTTTTATCAGTGTACAAAGAAATGCAGTACCTTCTGCATATAAACAACAGATGTGAAAAGCACCATTTTTCAGAATATAGATTACTACAGAGAATATGTTTGTGCAGAGCACAAGCCACAGAAGTATATTTTGTTTGCTGTAGACTGTAGCAAACTTCCATAGCTGGTTGAAATGTAATATAAAACTCTTCAGACTATTCTGCAAGCACTTGGGTATTTTCCTCATAGAATATTACAGAACAGTGAAAAGATTTATGAGATTATACTGTTTTTTGGAGCCTGAGAAAACTTAACAGTTTGAGTGAAATTACACAGATTCTGGCACTTGGAACTAGAGGATAAATATTAAAAACATCTTTCCATTACAAGTCCTACTGATTTCCAGTCTGGCCTCACAGTGACCATCAGCTGTGCACGCACAGGAGGATGTTCAAAGAGGGATAAGTTTGTGACTCTGGAGGAGGCTTAATGGGGTGAAAATATGAATTCCACATTTTCACTCTTCTCCAGGGGAGGGTGGGGAGCTCAGACACTATGAGCTGTTTTGTCTGATGTGGTTTATTTGTTAGATCTTCTAGCTATACATTACTCACTTTTCTTCGAGTCCTGTCTATATAGCATCCTTGGCAGAACTACTGCAGGCCTAGTTCATGAATGCCAATGACTCATGTTGTATTACTTACTGCTGTCTTTGTTAAGTACAGTTGCAATTTATCTGTACTGAGCAGATAAATCCTGCATGCTATTATACATTTTGCAGCAAATATTAGACTTTATTTCTATACAATACCTGGTATTTCATGGGTTGTGCCATCACACTCCTACCAATCAGTCAAATTTACAGTATGTAAGTGCCTACATATGAAAGCAGCTTAGGAACCTAGAAGGGATGTGAAATGTCTACGGCCTCATTTTGCAAATTAGAGCAATCTATCGTGTAGGGTGAACCACAGTGCAGAGTATGGATAATAAATTAATTCCACTAATAAGCCATAATCTTGTAACATCCTTATGAATACAGTCAACAACTTTGTTATAAAGCAGCTATGTGGACAAGAATATTATTTATTATGCTTTATTATAAAGCAGCAGGGAGTGGACAAGAAAACTCCAGACTTGATATGTTGAGTTTGATTCACAAAATTCATGAGAAAGAAGAAAAGATTGTTTCCAGAAGGAAAGCCAGAAAACACATCCCAGGGACTGCATTGCTGTCTTTTCTTTCACTTTCCCAATTCTTGCAGTAAGCAAAGCATATTGGCAAGAAATAGGAAGAAGCTCTGGCAGTGAAGCAAGGGTTGCCAGTCAGCGAGGACTCTCCAGATGTGGTGTAGAATTAGAAGAGTGCAGTATTAGACACCAGGTACATTGGATTTTCAAGACAAGTACTTACAGCTGCATTGTGAGCCACACACAGGGATGACATAATCAAAGGGATGAAAGGTAATTTCCTACAACACGAAACTTTCACATTTGCAAAGGATTGCTGAGAGCGTTGCTTTATCGTCCTGTTTCAATGGTGCATGTATTTCATATGCAAAGTACCTGAATTCCTGGTCTATTTATTAAGGTGCTAGATAGATTTATCACTGAGCATATAACCCATTGACCTTTATCTATTCCACTTGATAATTAATAGAAGGTGATCTTCCTATTATTTCATGTGGTGTGAGGTGCTACCGTTTTCAGCTATGAAGTAGCAGGACTTGGATTTTCATCCAGCTTTCACTTTACCATTACTCTCTATCAAGAGATCGAACAGTAAAAGAGGAACACTTGAAAACAACTGTACTGAGTTTTCCATTTCTACTGTATATGAATCATTTGGAAAGTTCCCAGTAACTGCATGCAACGGAGATTTTGTTTTGAATAATGCTGACATACTGTGCGCCGCATGGCACTAATCAAAGGACATTTTGGGGGTAAGCATTTATTGCTCTTTCCCAGTAATAGTTAACTATTAAAACTATGTAAGGAGGGCACTGCAACGCTGCTACAGACTGCAGACAACACTGCCAGTAAGGCAACAAATTGCGTATTTCACATTTAGCCACTGATGTTACTTTAAGAGTTTATTTTTGTGACTGTTTGCACAAGAGCAGTTATATTCATCACAAGCAATAAATAAGTAGTTGTGGATATGGCAGAATAATTTGAATAAGCATTCAAAGATCACTTTCTAATTGTTACCCAAATTAGAATGAGATGATGCTGATGTCTGTTATGTTTTCCAAAAATAATTGTCAGCTAGCTTGTTTCAAACAGTTTATTTCTAAGTGGGAAAAAAAAGGCAAGAAAATTTTTTGTTTAGGAAAAAAATTAGTCTGGACCAGTACCAACCCTGAATATGTTTAGGCAGATTTTCGTAAGAATGGCTTTAGTTCATCCAAAAACTTTGTCTATAAAATGTTTTCAGCTGGAATTGAAAACATCTAAAAATAAACAGTGTACCATCCTATTCCCTTTAATTAGTCAAACTGAATGTGGGCTGCACAAACAGCAGCTTTAATTTACCCTGCTATTTCACTGGGATACCATCTTTTCTACTTTGTACATATTTATGTAAATCTCATTGGTGTAAAAAAATTGGCCCAATTTTAGCCATATCTGGTTAAACTCAGATGATACAGCCATGTTTAATGTCCTGTGTTTGGAACGAGTTGCCCAAAGATGTTTTACCCTCCGTGGTTTTCCAATCCAGCCTCGCTAACACAAGGAGTGACCTCAGTGCACCTCAGAACTCACCTGGCTTTGCTGAGTTTGGGCTAGAGCTTGCAGATCTGATACTCAGATTTATTTCTAATGCTTGGTGCACCTTCTGTAGGTATTAAATGCATTCTTCGTTTTTCTTTACACTATGCAGAACTCTTTAATTTCTAGCTTAGCCATGAAAGATGAATCAATTTAACTGGAAAATATAGTAATTGTAGTCTGATAACGCCTATATATGATTTGTTATATTATTCACCAGCATTTCAAGTCCAGTGATTGACTTACATATACTCATAAAAATATGTTTATTTTATTTAGCTATCTGAAAACTCCTACTGGTTTTGTTTCCCCTTCCCTACAGACACATGAGTACCTGACAGATAACCTTTGAAATGGAGGCACAGAAGCATCCTGCTCTGACAGCTGCACTGGCAGACCAGCCACTTCCAACCTCTTCTGTTCAGGCTGCACAGGGTCCTTCAGCTCTCAGCCAAAGCAGTGCGGTTCCTCCACAGGAACAAGCACTGCCTCAACCCGTGTATCTAAAAGCCCTCACCATTCCCCTGTACCAGCCTGTCCAGCCAGGATGCTTTCAGCCAAGCAGTCAGCTAGTGGCTGGCAGGAGCTGTGCAAACCTGGATGGCAGTAACATACCTCTGATCCTGAACCCACTTGTTCCTTCCGAAGGCACGGATCAGCCCCAGTCAGTGTTTCAGAAACAACTTGGGCAAACTCTAACATTGAACATAGTGAGCACTTTACCAGTTTTATCATCACCAAATTCTTCGGTCAGCGCACCTATCGGAAGCCCAGGAAAATCAAAAAATGCTGGGAAATACATCTGTAAACACTGTGGTCGAGACTGTTTGAAGCCAAGTGTCCTTGAGAAACATATCCGCTCTCACACAGGAGAGAGACCCTTCCCATGCACCACTTGTGGTATTGCATTTAAAACTCAAAGTAATTTGTACAAACACAGAAGAACTCAAACACACGTCAACAACACCAAACTACCCTCAGACTCTGACAACAGTGGTACAGCGGAGCAAAATGAGAAAGCAACAGAGAGCATCACGTCACAGCAAGGCACCAAAGGACACGGTAGCAGCTATGAAGACCGGGGGATGCAGATGAAACAGGTGACTTTGGAGACCAGTGCTGTAACAGACAGTAAGAAACTTAATGATCTTTCAGTGCCAGCAACAAGCAATTCGTCGGTAGTTTCAGAAAATCAAGAAAGAACTCATCAGTCTTTTAGTTCAAAGGCTGATCAGGAAGTCTCTGAAAAAGAACCTCCAAGTTTATCATTTCCAGTAGCCTTGCCAAACGGTCAGTGCCAGATAAAGAAGATGCAGGAGCAAAGAACTCCAGCTGCCAACAAACACATTCAGTTGCAAAGGCAGCAAGCAACCTCTTCAGAAAAACAGTGGGATTACAAGCCATTTGACTGCAAGCTAAAGAAGTGTGAGAGCACCGACTCAGGGTATCTGTCACGCTCTGATAGCACAGAACAACAGCTGGCATCCTCCAGCCCGTTGCACAGCCTCTGTGAGCACAGCACTGAACTGGAAAACGAAACTGCCTTCAGCAGCTCAAGGTGCGCGGCCGGAAGCAGTGCAAAGGCAGAGCCAGCTGAGAAAGCGGCAGCCTCGATGCTAGAGAAAAAGAGGCTGGAGGAACACATTTCAAAACTTATTTCTCACAACAAAATTGTGGTGGATGACACTCAGTTAGACAATGTTAGGCCCAGAAAAACTGTCCTTTCTAAACAGGGAAGCATAGATCTGCCAATGCCTTATACATACAAAGACTCTTTCCATTTTGACATCAGGACTTCTGACACCAACAGGAAGAAGAACCTCTCCCTTTGTTCAGCAAAATCTACCTTAGCACCCCTAGAGAAATGCAAGCCCATGTTTTTTCATTCAGTCCCCACACAGTTCTCCACAACGATAGATGCTGTGCCTGTCACACGAAGCAACTCTCTGCCATTTGTGGAAGGCACAAGAGCGGTGCATGACAACGCAGGCTGCTCAAAACCGCCGGCTCTTACTAAGCAGTCTGTAAATACAGGCGCTGCTGCTCTGCTGCCTAGCAACAATCTCGTTGCAAATTCGGTGGATTTTCCCAGCAGCCATCCTCGAGCTCTAGTCAGACAGACAGCAGTGGATGATTTGCCACTAAGTAACGTGGCTGATCAGCCTCCCTTGGAGGAGCTGCAGATGAGTACCAGGCTTGGGACTGGAGAAACAGTCAGCGCTAAAAACAAGAAACACAATCAAAGGAAGCTAAAGATGTTCTCGGAAGAAAAATGGCAAATGTATGGAGATGAAACCTTTAAGAAAATCTACCAAAAAATGAAAAGCAGTCAACATGCCAGGAAAATCAAAGAAAGGGGGAATAAGACTACAGATATTACAGGCTCCACTCCTGATTCAAAGGAATCAGTCAGCAGTACTGACACTGCAGAAGAAAAAGATGTCAGGAGCTCTGCAAGTGACAGCCTTTCCTCCCTTGTGACAACAGAATCAAACTCTGTTAAATCAGAAACTGGTGCTAATGGTAACCACATTCCACACAACGCGTCCTTAGAGGAAACCACAGGCAGTTTAACCTATGTAATGGAGACATCACATTCAGTAAATGTGAGAGCACATACTGCAGTGAGCAAAGCTTCCCGAGATCCCCATGGCAGCCACACAGACAAACACACGGGTGGCAACAACACGTTACCAGCTCCAAGCAGCCGAGAGTACAGGCTGCAAAATACTCAGTGTCAACCCAACACCAACAGAATGAAGGATGACTGCTTGCCAGTACTGAGTAGCAAATGGGAAGAATCAAGTCCTGGGAAAGAATCCAGTACATTTGAATCAGATTATAAAAGCACTTCAAACAATTATGGAAACCATAACAGGAATCAGGAAACTGTCCGGCATGCCCTGATGCCCCTGTGGGTCCACTGCAGCAACAGAGAATCTTTAGGGAAATCCCAGAATTTACCATCAGAAAGAAAAAAGCTGAAAGTTGAAGTGGAGAAGAAGGAAAACATTATTTCAAAGTGCTACCCTAGTCCCTGTAGTGAAAGCAGTGCAGTAAATGAAGCAGAGGCTGCCTGTTGCACTGTCACTCCATGTCTTTCCACAGCACCAGTGAAACTCTCCAGTAAAACTGAGGAGCAAAAATCAAGCACAAGAATTAATGAATCAGCTGGAGGCACTGAGAACGTGGATTGTATAAAAACAACCAGAATCCCCACTGAAGTTGTTCATTATGGTGACATTAACCCTCTTTCACATTCAGCAGGGATCTCAAAAGCTTCATCTGTGGGATTTTTGAGGCCTGCCCTCAGGGGAAGTGATTGCGATACTTTTGCTTTGCACAACACGACAGATAAAGATGTCAAAACATGTCTTGTGAAAACAGGAGTACCACTTTTCAGTGACAACACTGCTAATGCATCTTCCAAAATCCATCATCTGCAATCTGGTCAGTTAACTCCAGACCCATTGAAAAATGCCTTTTCTCCAAAATATATCCTTAAATTGCCACAAGACCAGAGAAGCTCTGATCTGTCAATTCTGCTTCAGTCCGAGCAGATCACACCTGGTACTTCTGAGACACATTCCTTAACCAACCCACCCTGCTCTTCCAGCAGCAGATCGCTCTGTTCTCATTCCAATGATGTGCTTTGGTCCCCCTTAAAATTTGAAGTGAGACAGAAAGGCAGCAAAGGAGAGCTACGATGGAACTTGCATGCAAACTGGAAAACTCCAGTATTGTGCTCACCAGTCAGTTCAGAAACAACAAATATCTTAACAACAGTAGGTGGCACCTTTTATAAGGAGGAAATTATGAGAGGGGCCTGGAAAAACAAACAGAACAAAAATAAACTCAATTATCAAAAACAAACAGAAGGGAAGTGGATGAGCATATCTACTTCATCAGCACAGACCCCAAAGAAGAAGATATGCTTTACTTCTGTGTATTCGAGTGGTTTTGTCATATCAGCTGACATCAAAGAAGAAAAAGTTTTACATCAGCTTTGCTCAGGAGGTGACTCTTTGATGACAGCATCAGGCCAAAGGGAAGCTTCTTGCAAGGATGCAGAGTCAACAGTCATGGGGTGGGACACAGGTGGAAGCCCAGGCATTCTTAAGGACATGTCACCAACATCAGAGGATATGGAGCAGACTCAGAGATCAAAAGATAGCTCCACTTATTTGTGCCATTCCTTTGGCACGTTTTATTGCCACGCTCTCACCACTCACTGCGAAGAATTGCCAGCACTACGCAGCAATAGCCTGACTTCCTACTCTGAAAGTTTTACAGTACTGAGCACCAAGAGCACCTTCCCATCACTAAATGCTGAAACTCAATTAACCTGGTGCTGTTTAACAAAAAGCCTTCCTCTGCCTGCTGAGCAGAAGGGGAACGCAGACTCTGCCTATTCCTCCATGCACATCCACAAGGAATCCAGCAATGAGTGCACACTGTCAAAATGTGACATTTCTATTTTCAAAATGAAAAACATTAGCAAGACTGTGGCCTGTAGCTTAACGAACAAGAGTTTAAAAACACTGCCTTCATCCTTCTCTCAAGGACAACAGATGCAGGAGGTAAGATTAAGGATCCTGTTTCCTTTCTCAAAAGGGCGTAATCAGCTTACAAGGACAATTGTAATAGAAAAACAAGAGAATTAAGAAACAAATTAAGAAACTAATGTCCATGTTTATGGACAGGCATTTGTGGATGCAGAATTTATCAGTTATATCGTTCCAAGATAAGTCATATTTGTTTGGTGCATAAAACATGCATGATTTTGTGTATGTACCTTTCACTTGAGAATGTCAGTAGAAATGCTGGATAGTGAGAAGACCATACTTTCTGTTCCTCAGTTTTCCCCCCTGAGGTATTTCTTACATTCTTTTGTGACAGTATTTGTATTTCACAATTTTCATTTTAAATTAATATTTGAATTAGAGTAGGACTTATGAGATAGTTAAGATCAAGACTTTATTTTAGTTGGAGATATTTAGAGTCGAATGCAGGCTATGTATTAGGTGTGTGCTTATGCTGGGAGACAAACATCAACAGAATCAAATTGCATTGATACCCTGTGAGTGTTTAAAGCCTGAAAGCTTTTTGTTTCTAATAATTGTTTCTATATTCTAATAATAATAATCTAATAAGTGAAGATAAGACCAGTCTGCACAGATCCTTGAACAGCTCTATAAGACTCAGCTTGTCTTTTATATAGGGAGAGGAATGCAAGAGAACATGCACTAAATTCTGTACAGGTCCACAAAAGCAATGGGTTGTTTAAACTTTATAAAAGCAGGTGGACAAAGTGATTAGAAAAACAAACATGAAAATTCTAGGAAAAATGTCAGAGAATATTATCAACTACTGTGCTACTCAGTGCCATGTAATGAGCACAGATTCCTACTATCTCAGGTAATGGAATTCACAATTTTTAACGTGCTTTCAATTTTTTCAATATTTTTAATAGTTATGCTCAGCAGCTCCTGGTGGTGCTTTCAAAAACATATCAGAGAAGAAGAAGAAACCATCAGTTTGCAAAAAGGAAAAACCAGCAACAAATAAACTCAAGAGGAGCCACAAACAGAAAAAAATTAAAATCCCCCCGAAATGGTAAGGAATATGGCTTTGTATGGTTTCATCTTCCCTGGATACAAACATCATTTTGCTGCCATGGGTATAAAAATGTCCACAGAAAACAGAAAACCACCCCCAAAGTTCAACCTTGTCAAAACTGGGGGAGAAAATAAATCTCATGAAAGATCTATTCCCACACTGCAGCAGTGCCACAAAGGTAAATTATCAAAATTGTCAAAAGTATCAGTGTATTATTTGCTGTCAGGAGCAAACTTTTCTAAGCAGAAGAGACATACACCAAAGAAATGATGACCAGTCAGGTGACTGTTATTGTGCTTTAGAACTGATTCTTATCTGTCAAAATTGTGAGCACTCTGTTTTGTTTGATGGGAAGCAAAATACTTCAGTTTTATTCCTGTTACAGTTAAAAGCTGCAAGACCCTTCTGTCCTCAGATCTGTATCTTTTATTCACAAGAGAATGCAGAAGAAAAAATCAAGTTTTAGCACTAAGTGAATAAAGCCAGCTGTAGTTTAAATGATCATTCAGTTTAAATATGAAGCTGAAAGCACATAAGGCTGTTGAAGGCACACTGTATCCATCAGTGCAGTTCCTCTGACTTCAGTGGCAGTTCGTATGGGTGGAAGATTTCAGGAGTGTGAGGTAGCAGAATGTCTGATGGAATGCTTCAATAAGAAACACATCTTGTGTGCATACATCCTTCTTATGTAATCTTATGACCAAAAACAGACAGAGCTTTTCCTTCAGGACACATCACTGTTGGTAACTTAATTGCCATGTCTACCTTCATAAACAGCACCTCAATTTTGAAGGATCATCAGACCACAAATAGAATACTCAGGTCTATATCACCCAAAATGTTTTGTGCCATTCTTCTACACTTTCAGGCTCTTTTTTTCCCTTCTTCGCCCCCATTTCTTTTCTGCTGGTCTCAGAATTGATTTGGCCATATCAAAAAAGTACAGAGATTCAACTGAGTACAGGGATCTGAAAGCCAATCTGTATCAGTAGCTAACTGGCCAAACTTTTAATAGTGAAATGTAATATATTTTTCTTATACACCAAACATCTAAATAAGCTGTTAGATTTACTTAGCACTGTATAACGTTTGATTCTATTGATACAGGAATGGAAACTTCCACCATAATTTTGTCCCAATCATTAAAATTAACTGAACTAGATGCAGTAGATAACAAAGTAGTCGCATTATCCAGTGTGAGTTTTCTAAATAACTGAAACATGTTGTTCAGCACTGATGATAAATAGGTTGCACATAAGAATTACAAAAAAGAAAAGCAAAATACAACAACTATGCACTCTCATGTGATTCTCGTGCATTGCAGTATTTATGAGCATGCTGTTTTAAAACTCCATATACAGAAAAATGTTTCTAGATCTGTAACTCCTGAATCCTTTTCTCCCAGCAAACCAAGGACATACTGAAATGTAACACGGAGAAGTTCAACAAAGTAATTGTTGGAGTATCTCGATTTTTGAATTAACATGAACTAACATCTCCTTCACAGAAGTAAATTCCTAAATTCCCAGGAAAAAGGCCTGATGTTGTGGTGTTATTCTTATTCTACCATGGCCAGTGTTAAATAGCACGTATTTGTTTAGCCTTTCAATGCCACTTGCATGCAGGTACGGAGGAAGGCACATACATGGATATACTCAGCTGAAAATGAACCGACTGAACAAGAGACACTGTTTTCCAAATAGAACAGTGGATGTTTTGAAAAAGGGCTATTCATCACATGGCTGTAAATTTAACCAGTATAAGAAGTGCCATTCTCCTCAGTCAAAGGTACAAGGTAAGCATTTCAAGTATTTTTGAGTGCACTGAATGTTTGGCTTTGAAAAGGTTGAACGTTAGCAGCATTTCTGATGTGTACCTGATATGAACTGCAAAAATGCTTTTGGCTTTCAGAATCTTCTGCAAGTGAAAATATAAACACATGACTTTCATACATATACTTAGATAAGTGAACTTGCAAATTATGAGTTCATTTAAAAAATAAGTGACACAAAATAACGTTCCATTAGGAGCAAGTTCAGGATCAATATTTACCATTTTCTGAAACAAGACTGTATGTTTGCTGTATGAAGTGAGTCTGGTGTGTTGACTCGGTTTCAGTAACTCAGAGAAAATATTCTGCTTCCTTGATTTCAGTGAGTGGTAGTAATGGAAATGTTTGTGTTGTGACCACCTTTGAAGCAGAGACATTATCTTGTGCCTTTTTCATAGCAGATATATATAGAATAGATATAATATAATAATAATACCTATATAATATAATATAATACCTATAGAATAGGTATTACTCTGCAAGACATCTTAATTACCATTAAAAACAGAAAGTTGAGAAAAGGTAGCTGGGAAAATGTATAAGGCTTAGGATAAAAAGTTGCAGAAAGCAATAAATGCATGAAAGTTAGATGAGTGAAACGATGAGAAATTCACTAATTCTGGGTGGGGGAACAACACTCAAAGTAAAAGTTTATTCAAACTATTTTTTCAATAGAAAATTACCTACACCAGCAAAAGGACTCATCTTGCTCTGCCTCAGACAAGCTGCTTTCCATAAGGAAGAAAGAAGGAAAAAATAACTCAGGAATATTTTCCCATATTGAAAACCTTACCCACGTTAAGCAAAATGACAAAGAGGATAAACAAGTAAGTATGGTACCTTACATGACTGTTTATTATGAGAGGAAAAAAAAAACAAATATACTGGTAATTAAAACTTGAACTTTAAAACTGCTAAATATAATTCAAGTTGAGAGTACTTTATCACAGATTTTTATTAAAAATGTATTAAAATTATTGTGGGGCACTGCTGTTAGAGGTGCCAGCAGACGTGGCACAGAGTGCCCTGTGATGGAGACTATTGGTGATGGAGTTATTAGCTTATCACTGGGAAAGTGGGGAGGATGCTAAGAGATACATGCACTGGAAAGTGTGTGCATCCAACATGGCTTCAGGGCTTCTTCAGCCATCTGGGTACATCTGGGAGGCTACAGTTTCAGTACTACCAAAAGCTGCATTAGCTAGATGGAGCCTTAGGCACATCTGTGCATGCTGCAAACAATGCTGTTGTATGCAGTGTCAGCAGAGCCTCCGGGAGAAATAGTCTATATCCTTACCCTAACTGTTTTACTTTTCCCTAGACTAGCCACAATCAAAGACAGATGCTACTGAGCCAGATTGGTTTTGTGTAGCAGGAGCACTGGTTCCTCACAGCATAAACATTTAGGAGCCTAACTCTTATGATGTGTTTTATGCGTAGGAAATAAAATTATTTCATATCTCACAATCTCAGACATCTTATTTCTTAAAGACTCATCCTAAAACTTTCCGTCAGTGATGCACTCACATCTTTGAAATATATATATTCAAATATCTTAATAAAAAGAATGCTATCCCTACACATTGCACTTGGAGCTGGAAATGTTTGGCCCCCATTACCCAAAAATTATTAGCAGGATTTGTCACCTAACCAAGAAAAAACACCTTAGGAAAGACACACATCTATTACTACACCTCACATACTGGGAGAAAGAAAAGCGTTCTCATCAAACGAGGGACGAGTAACTTGGTATGCAGCAATGAGTTGTTCGAATAAAGGTTGATACTATCCTTAGCTACTGAGTTGATGCAAGTTATTGCACAGCTAAATGCCTTCTACCAACATACTTGACAATATTATCACACTCTTTTAAAGGACAGCGTTGCTTTGGATTGAAAATTTTTAACGTAAATTTCTTCCCCTCCCTAATTTCTACAGGACATTTCTGGGACAATCAGGGAACACACAAGAACAAATTTCTCTTTTCAGAACATTGCACCTCTGGAAGTACCTATGACAGCTCATTCCTTTCCGTCCTCAGTCAGTACGGCCATGCAGGAAGTCAGCAGTGATGTGGAACTTTGCTGTTTGGTGACACAGCCACTTGTGCTTCAACGGTCAGTTCCAGAGGAGTCACAGACAAACGTTCAGACAGACTCGATGGCATCTTCTTTTTGGTCCTGTCCTTTTGGTCTTACAAATACAATCAAAGGTGACCAATCCATCAGAACAAACTCAGAGACTACTTGTCCTCTTTCCTTCGGCCTTGAGGCAAGCCAGGAAAATGTACCAAATGTAGAGTTAGAGATTGAAAGCTTTGGTACGTTAGATTCAATGGTTCAGGCCTCAGGAAGAGCAGAAGATCAAACTGAAGAAAATGCACGTTCATCTTCCAAGGAAAACTCAACTCAAAATTCCCAAGCTAGATGTTTGCATTCACTGGGATCAAAAGCAGAATCTCACCTTGAGTCAGTCTCTATGGCTAAATTATCCCACACAGAATGCACAGAGCAGGAGAACTCACAAAAAATCCTTCACCTTCATGGAGCTGCAGCCAAGAATGGAGCCCACCAGCAGACAGAGACCTATAGGAGACAGCACGAAACAGCTGCTTCTACATTTAAAAAGCCCTCAGTAACACTCAGGTCCCCTGAATTCAATAATTACTCAGCAACAGCTTCCAAGACATACAAAAAGAGAGGTTTAGAGATGATGAGGAAGCAAATCAGAGTTGAATATGACGACACGAGTAGCGATGATGAAGATAGGCTTGTTATAGAAATATAAATAGGCTGCTAGTAACACGCTTGCATGATGGCCCATTCCATAGGGAAATACCAGGTATGTTTGTATTTCTGAAGCACTTTAGGATCAGAAAAGCCATTCCTCTGTGCAACACACAGCATTCCCTTCTCAAGAGAGTTCTTTATTCCAAGGACTCAAAACTTTAAAAATAAAACTTATTTGAAGCAAAAAGGGGAAGCTTGCATCATATACTTCAATGCAAATATTAAGCTTGCATTTATGAGGGGTTTCTAGCATTGTTAACCTTATTACCAGTCTCATCTAGTGCCCAGAAGTGCTAGCTGCCAGTGGTTGTATTATTAAAAGCCTGCAGTGTATTTATGTAAATACACATACCAACAATAGCAGCAGCTAAGATTTCCTGGAAGGATATGGATGTACTCCTATATACTCTTCTTTTTGTAGTCACTGCTGGTTGTTCTGGGAGTGACAAAGTGGCATTAAGGGGAAGATACATTCCCTAAGTGTATGTGATACTGAAAGAGTCTGCAAAAACGCTGATCTTTCTCCATGTTGCACAAATGTCAATGCTTCGTTGTGACAGATGACACAAGCACGCTTTGGTTTGTGTTCTGTGCCTTTTATGCCAATATCTACTCCAATATTCTTGATTTCTAGTTGGAAAACATGGATGTTCGCTATTAGTACCTCCTTGTGGTAAAACATGACAGGCTCTTAGATGTAACTGCAGTGATGCTGTTTTATGGACAGTGAAGAAACTATAAAAAAAAGCTGTACCATAAATTGTGCTACCAACCCCAAATTTATTGGTTTCTTTGTGAATAAATAATTAGATCAAATTTGACCAGGTGTATTCACTTGATTAAACCAATCAGCATCCCTCACTTCTACACTATAGTCAAATTATTTACTTAAACATTTACCAGTTTTAATACTGTGAATCACATATAGAGTTTTATAGATAAACCTTTGTGGAATACTTGGAATTGCTTTTACTTCAGTTATGCACAATTAAGCTTACACAGATCCTACTTACAAATACATCTAGTATACTATAGGGAAAAAAACAAATGCATATGTGAAAAGGATGCCAAACACCCCATGGCATCAGCTAACAGAAACAAAACCAAGAGTTTGAGTCCCATGAAATTTCTGTATTTTCATATGTCTTACAAATGGGACAGTTCTTGAAAATATCCACACAGAATTTAACAGTTAGACACCATTTATGTTCATAAATGTACACCGTTACAGAAAATAAAAATAGTGACAAAACATTGCTACTTCTGATGTTAAAAAGTTAGGAAAAAATCTTATCTTTCAGAACTGAGGATGAGCCACAAAAGTCTTCTCCCCTTTAAAAAATGTTACAACACAGAATTAACACAGGATTTTCAATAGCATTACATAAATAATTGGTGACAAAACTGCAAGGAAAGGAATCTAGGAATATTAGTTTAAGGAATTATGCATTTTCAGTTTCCTCCTTTACTTCTCATTTACTGAGTGCTGAGGTTATAAAACCTCACAACTTGCAGCTCAGAAATACAGTCTGTTCTCTTGCTATACTTCATTGTAAATTTCTGTAAACCTCAGCTGTATTTCCACATGCCACACAACAAGAGGACAAGATGACATCATATCTTACCTAACTTGGTAAGTCTTGGGTTCAGAGCTCAGCAAGCATGGGTGTATATCTGAAGAATGAATGGCATTAGCAGTGGTATGGCCCTGTAAATGGTGTGTTTGTTGACTAGAGGAGCAGTGCAAAATTACCATTCAATTTAGAGCGATACAGCTGAAGGAGACTGAAACAGCTCTAGATTGTTTTTATATTGTTAGAATTTTGTCTTTATACTGCTGAGTTGTTTTATCTTAATGAAAATAAAACGTGAAGATCAAAATATCACTAATACTGTGCTAGTTACTAGGGGCAATTTATAGAACCAACTGCAGAGATGGGAGCTCAAGAATGTCACTATTCTCAGTACAGACTAAGCACTATGCTATCCATGCAATTTCACAAGCACATCTTTTCTAAACTACAAACATGGACATAACTAATGAACTGCCAGTTCCTGTTTCTAATTGTTAGTAGAAACTCAGAGTAGTTTAGTAGAGAGCCTACACAAGCTTTTTTTTTTTTTTCCCCCAAAATACCATTACTACTCAAATTCAAGCATATTCAATTTTAATCATTTTTAGTCATAATTGCATTAAGTCTACAATAAAACTTAACAGGAGAACTAATGGGTTACTCTGGAAACCTCTGAGAGATGATGAGCAAGAAAGCTGTTGACAACATTGTGATTTGCCAAGTTTCACTAAGTTTGGTATTACCAGGACTGGGAAAATCAAAGAAAAACCTGAATTGTTCTTGTTCTGCTCGGTATCAGTGTTTCAGTGGGGAGTTTCTTAGGGAATCTTTGGTACAGAGAATATTGTGAGATCAAAGAAATACAGTACTGTTAATCTAAATTGAGAGAAGAGAGGAAAGAAGGGAGAAGAGGGAGAAGGAAGAGATTTCAACGTAAAGACTGCAGAAAATCCTGTGAGAATACACAGAACAGAAGAAGTTGCTCAAGTACCTCATCATTAAATACCAAGGAACAGAAATGTGATTTAGAAGAAGATCCAATCACTCTGACTGACTGAAGAATGTGATAGCTGCTGCCCATAAATTAGAATAATAAGGATGTAATCCCTGTCGTCTTTATTTCAGAGAGGTTGAAATGGTCTTAAAGTAATCCAGAAAGCTTTATGTGACAACAGTAAATATAAACAGGAAAAAAATGCATGTTTACTATCCAGAAAGATACTAACTGTACTAACTGCAAACGCACAATACCTGAACTTTGAGAATACAAAAAGTCTTGTTCAGATGGAGCAAACTCGGTTCCAATATAGAGGCTGAACTGAACTACCAGGCATCCCATAAATAACACAGGGGTGACAAACCTTAATTTATCATATTTAACAGATTCTGCTTGTGACTGACAGGTTGCAATGCATACCTGAGATTCAGCTCAGCCAATATTTCTGTTTTAACTCAAACTAAAGATGAAAGGAAAACGCTCTACCTTTTATGAGGGAACAAGTGTATTTATGGCCACTCCTCACTCAAAAATGTTAAGCATCCTTACTAATGAAGCAATTTCAATTCTGAGGAGTCACACTGATGTACATATATAAATAATTTAACTCAAGAAAAGCGATTCCTTGCACTACTACACCAGATACAGTATCAAAGTGTCATGTCCTTACAGTGAAAAGTATTCTCCAAATCTGTTCCCAACCAGATTTTAGCTGCTATTTTATTGTGCTGAGGAAACTAATACCAAACCACTTGTATATTGCGTCTCTTTCCTAGAACCATTGGATAGCAGTAGTCTGATATAAATATTTATGAAGTTGCAATGAGGATGTCTACACTTCAAATAAACTGATGACAATCGAATGTTTTGCATTAAAAAAAATCAGCTAAGGATCAAAATCTTATATCAAGACACGAGAAATCACTGACCAGTGACAGATTGATACGATAAAGAAGACATTCTATTCCAGTTAGAGCTGCTATGGCCTTACAGCCAGTTGAGCTGGAGTGTAGTAACAGTAGTTTTGAGATTTTATTCTGATGGGATCACTCAAAGTTACATCTGGGTTCTGAATCTGTAGAGAGAGCAGGAGAAGCAGAATATGCTTGCAGAAATACACAGATCATAGTGTTCTAAGGAATACTGTCAGGCAGGACGTAAAAAAGGCCATATTTCCATCTTCATTTTCAAACTTTCTCCATATCTTTGTTTATAACATGGATGACAAGAATATGGGTGTTTTTTTTCAGTTTTTAATGACAATTTCAAGTTCTGTGCCAAAAACCTAACAAAGTAAAATTTCTAATGCTTCAGAGCTTTGCAAAGTCTCCTAAAAATGTGAAGTCTTTTAGAAAATCTCTATACTTGTTAAATCCAACCCAGATGTAAAGAAAACCTTTGACAACGACATTTAGAAAGCACAAGACAAGACAACACTTGTATCAGACCAGACCAGCAGCCTTCACGTTAGCTATATTCACCTCAAGCTTTTGCAAGAGTTCTCTCATTAAAATAATTTATGGATGTGTAATGAATTTGCTGCAGAAAGTTTTTTCTTGCATAACGGCTAAATGATGTCTTTTAAAATGGAATTTCTCAGTCAGTAATGTTGAAACATTCTAAAGAAATTCAGAAGTGTTGTGCGAAGAAACATTTATCCTGTGTAGATTTCACAGCATTAAATATAGAAATTTCTTTGTCATATCACAGCTGTAGCTGGAACAAAAATGGGATGATTTTAAGCCAGATGAGAAAGAATATTTTAAACTATTTCTTGACAGCAGTAATCCCTGCTATGTTAAATCAGTATGAAGTTCAGCAGTTTGATCTAACATTAGAACTGAAAACTGAAGGAAAAAAAAATCATCTCTCTTTAAAAGCATTAACAGATCCGTTGTTGCATATTTAACAGCATCACAAAAGGAGGCAGTGACTCCAGCACAGTCTTTCTGGCCATGACACTCCTTGCAGGAGTAGGGTCTAAATCACATTCATCAATGTGTGAAAACTGTGAGAAATGTTCTTAAGTTACAGAAGTTGGAGTTTGCATATCCAAACCCAACTGGCCATATGGCGAACGGCATATTTTGGCCTTCTATGCAATGCTGTACTCACAGAACAAGGCTGCTGCAGGGCTATGCAGGAAAATTATTCTCTGCCTTTTACACAAAAGATGTGTCATTTATGCAATGATATTTCTAATTAATTCTCGAGAAGCTGAATATCAAAGCCACATGAGGGCACCAGCACAGAGAAAAATCTGTCTCTTCATCCTCCAAAGTTAGCAGCAGTTCTGATGGATCATTACTGCGCTATGAAAACATCTGAAATTTCTTTTCATGTGAATTGATTCTCATCATAATTTTACTTCTTCTGTTGAAGAATGCAAATTAAAAGGCAAAATCTGTCACTGTTAAGATCTATATACAACACCCACTACTCAAATAGACTGTAAATGTCTGAATGTTTCAGTTTTTTACCCCTCTTAAGATGTGAGCAAACGAGTTCTCATTATTTCAAACTTTCCTATTAATCTCATTAATAACTGATATTTCATTGATCTGTCTGGAAAATCATAACTCGTACATGCAGTTCCACTAGGGTGGGTGAGAGGGGTGCAAACCAACCAGGGCAATCCCAGAGATTAAGGGATAAGAAGATATGCCTTGTATATATAACCTGTAAGAAAAGATAGCACAGGCTGGTTCAGCATCAGAAAATTAAGGATGTATGAACAAGATGGGAACACAGTACCACATCCATTCTGAGAGGATAGGAAATAATGGGCTTAATCTGCAGCAAATAAACTGGATACTAAGTAAAGATCCCTGTTGAAGAGCAACTGAACAAGTTACAAATAGACCAGGGAGGTTACAGACTCTTCATTATTTGGGAACTTCAGTAACTGTTTAGATGAGTGTTCTTATTATAATATCATTTGTTAATAAATTCTTTTTTTTTTTGGTCAGTAGCTTCCTCAAAATACCATGCCAAAAATATTTAGTACTTCTGTGGCTGTTTATGCACTACTTGTGTACACACATGGAACAACTGTATCTAAACACATGTGATTTGCATTACTCAGAATGTATACTGCAATGTATATCTGGTGCTGTGTCTTATTTACACAAATGTATTCCTGGTTCATGTTATAATTATCATCATGTAGTTAAGTAGCTTTGCTAAACCACTGTACATTTGGTTGGTTGTGGGTTTTTTTGTTTTTGTTTTTTTGTTTTTTTGTTTTTTAATTTTAGCAAAGCTTTTGATGTGTCTTCACAGTATCTTTCCAGGCAAAATGTCAAGGATACAGCTAGATATGTAATATGATGGGTGAAAAATAAATACCCTCATGGGTGGAGCTCAAAGGGTTACAGTAAATGAGATTACATCAGGCTAGCAACCACTCATTAGCAAGGTTCTGCAGGAGCCCATTTTAAGTTCATTTCTCTTCAATGTTATTATAAATTATGTAGATGCAAGACTTGAATGCAATACTAAGTTTGCAGATAATACTTAATTAGAAGGAGATGCTGACTCCTTGTGTATAGAAAGCCTTTTTAGAGAGACTGACAAACTGGAGGGCTGGGCAGTCACCAACTGCATGAAGTTCAACAAGAAGAAGCACCAGGTCCTGCACCTGGGATGGGGTGAGCTCAGCTACAGACTGGGGGGACAAGGGGCTGGAGAAGAGCCCTGTGGAAAAGGCTGTGGCTGACAGCAAGTTGAACGTGAGCCAGCAGTGCGCCCTGGCAGCCAAAAGGCCCGATGGTGCTGTGGGCCCAGCACTGCAGGTGAGGGAAGGGATTGCCCCGCTCTTCTCTGTGCTGGTGGGGTCAAACCCCAAGCAGTGTGAGCAGTTCCGCGTGCCACAACAAGAGGATGTAAAACTGCTAGAGAGCATTAAAAGGAGGGCTGCAAAGATGGTGAATGGAGGGCAAGACATAAGAAGAGTGGCCGAGGTTCCTTTGTTTGGCCCGGAGAAGAGGAGGCAGAGAGGACAACTCGTGGTAGCCCACAGCTCCTCACAGGGAACGGAAGGCAGCGCTGAGCAATGCTCTCTGGTGGCAGCACCAGGGCCTGAGGGATGGCATGGAGCTGTGTCAGAGCAGGGCCAGGTGAGGGAGAGGGAAAAGGTCTGCACCAGAGAGCGGTGGGGAAGCGGATAGGCTTCCCAGGGCTGCGGTCATGGCATCACGACTGCTAGGGTTCAAGAAGCTTTTGGACAGCACTGTCAGACATATGGTTTGATTTTTAGATGGTCCTGCGTGGAGCCAGGAGTTGGACACAGCGATCCTTGTGGGTCCCTTCCAACTTGGGATATACTATGATTCTATGATTAATTTTACCTTAAGGATTTATTGTGGAATTAAGGCTGCAGATGAAGTCTCCTGGTCTGTATTTTTCATTTACCGTCAGCATTCCACAAAAGTCATGTGGACGAAAAGGTCAATATTATTTTTTTAAACCATAAAATACGGAGAGATTATAATAGTACATTTAAAGTGTCTTGGTGGAACTGGATAAACAT